GGCGAAGGCGTTGCTCCGTTTTTATCACTTCTGCTTCAAAATTAACCTAATGTTTCTACAGTTTGACTTCTCCAATAATCTGTCTAGATGTTCTATAGGATTTAAGTCCAAAGAATATGAATGAGTTCTGAACAAGAACGAGCGAACATTTAGAGCTGTGTGTTTAGGTTCATTTTCCTGATAAAACCTGTATGTATTTATTAATTAGAAGTTTTCTTAAGAACATTTAATTTTTAGATTTTTTTAATTCTTAAAAATTTAGGATACTCCTCGTGCCAAAACTAATTTGCCAGCCCAGAAGCAGCAGAATATTCCCTAACCATTATGCCTTCCTCCCCTTGTTTAAGATTTTGTTGTATTAAATTCTTCATTCAGCTTTCGCCTCACAGTAATTCGTCCATCGGATCCAAGTGTATTAAACTTTGACACCTTTGCATATAGAACATTATTCCAATATGATAATTCTTTGCTTACCGTGGATTTTGTAAACGCCAGGCTATTTTCCTTGTCTTCGTAGCGAAGAATTTCCTTCTTGCTGACCGCCCATTATATCCATAAACCTTAATGGCTCTTCTAACAGTTTCAGAGTTGACTTTTATGCAAACCATTCTTCTAAATCCCATGCTAGTTTTAAAGCTATATTTTTTGGATTTTGTTTGAATTATCCTAAGATAAATCTCTGATGCTTTGGTTTTAGCTTAGTATATGATCCAGACTTCAAAGCATTTTCAACAGTTCTATGTAATTGACATTGTTTTATAGCATCAAAGATAATTGTAAATTTTACATGAATTGTTTTGGATAATACGAATACTTTTATCATCTTTAAAAGGATGAATTATAAAATTTCTACCAGAACTACCAGAAGAAATGAAATACAGTTTAATGTCAGATATCCATGAAAGTCGTAATAACTTCTGAAAAGTTCTACAAGCAATTCATGTATGAGTGCACATGACTTTTGTCCAATTAAAGTCATCGGCATTTTGAAAGATGGATATTATAAATAAATCATTTCCAAAACTGTTTGATCACAATAGTACTATTTTTTGGTTGACGGTACCACAGCAGAGAAATATGTGATCGCATTTTTGGGAGGTACAGTACACTATCATTCTGTGTTCCCCACTTCACCGGATAAAGGATTCCCTCAATCTAATATGGTCTACAGAATCTATCAGCCAAAATGAGACTTCTACCTTAGGTAATCCGAGTAATAATTCTGTGTCCTAAGGCCAAGAAAAAAAAGACTGAATCTGCTGTCTACGTATTCTTTCTACTAGTACTTAATATGCTCCGTCAAGAGCCTCTGGTAGACAATAAAGTAATTTCTACAGCTACTTGGAAGAACTTATTTCTTAACAGGCAACTTCTTTTGATTATGGACTGCTGATCGGAATTACTCTAATGAGAATTCTTGCTTGATTATATAGCTCCTTATCTGCCTTCTCAGATTTCATTATCTTCCGTATCCTATCTCGCTAGGCTTTTAATATTATAAACGTCTATTAGCTCATTTTTTCTTTTTGCTTAATGATGTGTTATGGAACTGCGATATGGCAAATTGTCATTTTTTAGAATTTCCCTTTTACATGCAGAATAAGATCTTTAATTTATCATTCCCATTCCTGGAAAATTTCTTTTTCACAAATGTGTTGCCATTAGCTCTTTATTTAATCTGCTCGGTGGTTCAAAAGTTCGAGCGATCTAAAAGTAATATATCTACAGCTTAATTATTTATATCTTGATTCTGATTTTGGTAATATATCAGATTTATGCAGTTTGTGATAAAAAAAACATTATATTCTTTTTAATATAATTTGTATGATTTAAAATTTTGTAAATATAATTCATAATGAATAAATATAATATCCTGATAAATTTGTCAACATTTTTCACCTTTAGTATAATTATTAAAAGATGTTTCTAAGGATTTCGAATCCTGATGAACGGGCGGACTGCATGGGCGATTTCGTGGTTTTCCCCAAGTTAAACGTCTGTACGAGTCAGTTCCCTTAAAAGGTCCATCACAAAGACATCCCTTCTCCTTAAGCAGATAGCCCACGTGTGCTTTGCTGTAATTAAATAAACCAAACCAAAGTAGATGTTTCTAATTTGTACATTGTATACTTTGGTAGCAGAATTCGTGCCACGCCTAGGGATGAGTTCGCTGTAATTTTCTTTTCTTTTCAAGCATTTTCTTTTATTTAATGCATAAATATTTCATTAAACAAGTATCTAGTGCTCTTTATACTCATGTAGCAATTAACTTGCTCGACGAAAAGACGTGATAGAATTTAGTGTCCGAGTTAGGCTTATATATATGGTACAGCGCCTAAATTCTCGCCTTCTCACCAACGAATCCATAGTTTGACGCTAGCCAATAGAAATTTTGGCACTATCTATTCTTATCAATAGATGGCGCTAATATTACAACCTCTTACCAAACACCTGCTTAGCAATTCATTATAATCATTCGGTAACAGACGCGGCTGATAGAATATGGAATTAATGAAATACTTTCGACCAAAACTATCTCGTATTTATAACACCCATGAAATTAAATTGAAAAACACCTATGAAACTCATTTGTGCTTCAAGTTTTAAACATGGATTAAAACGATTAGCGTTCAATGGGTTTGTCAGGTTCATTTTAGTTATCATACAGTTTTATGTTAATTCTTTTCTGCAACTTTTATTCCTCTGCCAGCCTTCACCAGAATGCAAATTAGGTTGAATTTTAAATTTAGAGAGCTGCCTTTGGCGAAACATCAAAAAGCAGTTTATTTTGAGAAGCGATCTGGTTTTAGTGAAAGTTTTCTGAATTTGTAGCGATTAAGATGTAAAAGTCTTAGACAGATTTAGGTACAACCGGATGGGATAAACCATTGGTCTTACAAGTATAGTCCTACCAAATCGTACACCACAGGTCGTACAGATATAGTTGTGGAGTTCGAACACTCCAGGAAAAGTCCGAAAGTTTCTCATTCCTCTTCCTCTCCACCAAACCATTCGAAAGAAATTTCGGCTTGCCAGTATTTCAAGTCCCTCTACGCGGCACAGACTCTTATAGACTTACAAACATTCTTGTCTTTAGGATTCAAATCCGGGCTCCATAGACATAGTTATAATAAATCATTCAATTCAGTTTTATCTTTTGTTTGTGTTTTCAAAGATTATTTTTGGGGGGTGAAGAACTTTTTTCTAAATGTGAAAAGAAGAATTCGTCGCAAAAAAAAAGGAAGGTTATACAAGGTGTGTTAATTATAGTTAATTAAATTTAATCTTACAGTTTCAATCTTCTGTACTAAGACACTAATGCGGACAGTTATTCTTTTTTTAGGGAAAAGAAAATCCTTTTGATCAAAAGCAATAAAATTAATTTCGACTTTTTAACTTCTTTGTACGAATTAAAGAAAGTATTCTGAACGCGAAACATTTCGAGTACCAGATTTCAACGCAAATATCCATTTTCACTGTTTTTCTGGATGACAACTCTACATATGGATAGAATAAAAGACTCTATTTTTCAAAACCAAATGTGAAATTGATTCAGATGGATTCAAAACGAATTTTTTGTGACGTATGTATGTATCTGGCATAACTCAAAAATGATTACCCATAGAACGTTGAAATTTCGTATATGGGACTGCTATAACATCTATTTCTGCTTCTCCATTTCTTATTTCAGTAGGGGAAACTAAAAGTGTGTATGCATATGTATATATATATAATATATATTATACATATACACTTTTAGTTATAAAAATTTATTTTGTAAATATATATATTTAATAAATTATTATAACTTTGATTTACGTATTTTTTATCTTACATATATATATATATATGTATGCCCACCCTCTTTACCCGGTTTAAAATTCCTTACCCGACCTTTATTTTCGCAAGCATTGGTGGTAGTCATATATACTTCCAGTCACAGAAATGTTTTAAATGGCGAAAATATTCATGTTTGCGCAATGCAAAATTTTAAAAAATAACCGTAATTTTCGACAAATGGGAAAATCTAACTCTTAATGCGGTCTCCTGGTTTCCATATTTGGGTAAGTTTTATTATGAAAAAATAAAATTATATGAATATTCATTATGAAAAAATAAAATTATATGAAGTTTGCTTCCTGTACGACAAAAATTGACCGGGATATTTAATTTCAAAATTCGCTATTTTTATGTCATTTTCAACTTGTCTTGCGGGATCAGTTAATTATGTTAGTATAATTCGACGAAATAACTTGAAAGTTAATCATGAGTTAAATGAAGTGCAGCAAGAAATGGATATAGTGTTGTAAGACCGTGCAAGGAAGTCGTGTGGTGTCCGCATCAAATATTTGTTATTACTATTACTATAATTACTTTCTGATGTGGTAGCATATGAACCAGCCAATTTATTTCGGGGAGTTACATTATTACTTGCAATACATCGTTAGGTCAAGTCTGATCTTCATTTTCTTGCCTAATAAATTAAATTATTTACATATCTATGCCCATGTTTCAACATAATGAGCGTAACGTACAAAATAAGCGAGAATTAAATTCGTTTACATACTATAACTAGATTTTTGTCTGTTTTGTTTTGTTAGGGCGCAGCCCGGTCCACCTTGCAAAACAAAGTTTGCCATATGACCCTATACGGCCTACGCCAGTGCAAAAATCACCACGCAACTATACAAATACACGAATCACACAATGCCAATGGCTTCCTTATTGTTGTTAATAATCTCATAATCTTATGCGCTATTCCTCTTGCCCTAAGTAAACATTTTTCATAAAATCTATGTTCGCTCCATCAATGCATCTGGTTAACTTACATTCTGTAATAAAGTGGACATTGTCTCCTACTTCTGTACATACTTTACATAAATCATTATCTTGAACATGGAAACATTTCAGATAAAAGGGAAATCTCCCATTACCTGTAATTAACTGATTCAAGTCAATGTCACTGTTAATATTCATATTTTCCTTAGGAACAAATATCTTCATGAACATATTATTTTTAGCAGAGTTTTCCCATTGGTCCGCCATTTATCTACAATGTCACACTTCATAATGTTAATGCATCTTCTCCTGGAGGCTTGTACATCGACAGTTTCAATACCATTACTCATTGTTGCCTCCTTTGCTAAGACATCCGCCCTCTCATTGCCCAAACAACCAATATGGGCTTTAACCCAATAAAAATTCAATTGATGCCTTACCTCCAATTGTATCACCAATTTTTTAATAGTTTGAATATTTAAATTTTGCTGCTCGGGATCAGAGAGTGCTTGAAGAACTGACATACAATCAGAATGTATTGTAATTATATGTGATTCATTTAGATTTATTATAAGCCACTCCAAGGTTTTTTGTATAGCAATCAGTTCAGCTTGATACACCGAATTATATTTTTCTAATTTAAACTTCGCATGTTCAATCTCCAGTCCATGATAGAACACTACAAATGCTAAGCCAATTTTTCCCTCCAACCCAGAGCCATTCCGTATAGACATCATATCAATTAAATATAGGAATGCATCTATTAAAAGTAATTGATCTTCTTTCCCTTGTATGTAAAAGATGACAATTAAAAATATGAAAAGCAGTGTTAAAACAATGCTTCTGTATACGTATAAAAGTCAATCTTATTTTATCTCAATAAAAACTTTTTATAATAAAAGTCATAGGACAACGAGATGGGCGGAATGCCCGCAAGTAATTTCCGCAAGTAATTCAGCAATTTCCGTAGGAGCAGTTCTAAAAGGCTTGTGATTGCCAGCAGCCAGCTGAAGTTCGAATCCCTATGATGTATGGCTGATTTTTTCTTCTTCCTCAGTTTAACCTATTCACACGACAAGTGGCGCGCGAGCTAAACTGTGATGGACAATGATTCGTAACCACCTCGTCTTAGCGACTTGATCCCCTCCTTTCTATTCGTCCTTTAAGTCGGAAAGAATGTAAGGAATCTTCGTCTTCGTTACTGCGTGCATTCATGGTGTAATTGGAAGCGCATCCGACTAGCAGTCTTTCAGTTGCTAGCGATCCGAAGTTTGAAACATGACGAGAGGATCGCTCATTTGTTGAATTTCCTACCCACATTAAAAACGAAAAATAAAGAAAAGAAAAAAATCTGAAAGTATTCAAATTATATTCATCGCCCGGGAGGATTTGTGGAAGTATTTTAGGTTCTCGATGATCTTGCATTTTACAAACTTATTTAATCTTTTTAACTTAAAGAACTTTTTAACTTTTTAACATTAAACATCTTTTTCTTCGCACTTACGTCGCATTAAGTCCAACAGTAAAAGCACAAAATTTTAAAAGCGATATTTTTTTAGTGTGAAAACATTTTTATAGCAGTATATGTGTAGAATTCTTGATACAGTGTTAAGGGTCGCCATTAAAGTTTTTGAAATCTTTTCTTGGTTCATCATATCAATGGTCACTTTTCTTAGATGACTTACGCAGCTTCTTTTTAACGTTTTTCATTAAACATAACTTCCTTGCAATAGTAAAATTACAAAATACTTAAAAACAGAGCATGCTTAGAATTCGCGAGAGTGTTAATTGTTGCCACATATTTTTTGAAATTGCTGTAATTATTTTCTTAGAAATAACATACAGCGATAGCATTTGCTGGCAACATCCTTTTATTTGAAAAGAGATACGTTCACAGAAGTGAGAATCGAGACTAATATAAATAGGAAATTCTAATGAGTCTACGCATGTATCTGCTTCTACTTGAGCTATGCTTGTAATTATAATATCAATTAATTTAGAATTAAATAACTGTTCATATAATATGCGATCAGCTCATCCAAATTTCACCAAGTGATCAAAAATTCTATTTTACAAAAATACATCGTAAAATGATTATATAAAATACACTAAATAAATAAACAATTACAGATAATACATAATACTAAGAAAATGCATCAATGTTAAATTACAAACACAAATATTTACAAAAATTTACTCCTGTATGTTGATTATGTTCAATGCTTACATAGAAGCTTGGCTATATGACAGAATGGTATTTTTAGCTAACACGTTATGAAAACGCTTGCTATCGTAAGCATAGCACGAACATTAAAGAAGTTAATCTCATCCACAACGAAATCGTCCTTATCTTAATTTTATTTAAAAGTTGTGTTTCTCGCCATATACACTTCTACTACATAAAATAATGGTTATGCTCGTTAACCGTAACTGATTGCTGTCACATTTCCCGCTGTATTTTCATACCTACAGGCGAGATATCACAGCCAGTGACTCTGCTAATTCCAGATTATATCACTCATCATATGTCTAATCTTTAAAATTTCCCTTCCTAACGACTTTCTCAATTTTAGACTGCAACCAGACAACTTCCTAGTTTTCGAAATTTTGGAAACTTTCCTTCTAATTTCGATGAAGGTGTATCTTTCATCAAATTAAATATTCATCAGGTTAAAAAAAAGAAGAGGGGGAAAAAAGGGAAGGAGAAAAGATAAACTGTTTGATCGCGCTCTCGTGGCAAACGTTGCGCAATTAGCCGACGACAATTTAGATCTCAGGTCTAGATAATTACTCAACGAAAATTCGGGAATAATTATCCCTGTAGGGACCGCACTGCAGGGAAAAAGGCAGGGATTAGGGAAAAACTGTTCCCTTTCAATCTCGCATTTTCGCTATAAGCTTTCAAAGTCCATTTTACTTGAATCCTTCGGGACCTTATGTCTGCATCTTAGGTAATTGAATCCGTGTTACTGCTGAGAACATTTTTCTGAATCCGAAAATGTCATAGTTGATGATGGGTTCCTGTATTCTTGAACCTTGCCTAAACAGTTCAAGGGAATAAAATTAAGTTCTAATTGCATTTCAGTCTAGTCATAATAAAGTCATATTCTACCAAACAGGTTAAAGAACTAAATTGGATGCTTCATAACGATGTCCCATCATGAACATGCTGATGGCTTTATGTAAATCAGTCACTCTTGGAAAATACAGAAAGTGTGACCAGGAATTAAAGTGCTCGCAGTCTTCCGAAGATCACACTGTAACCTGTAAAAAGTAACTTTATAAAGAGGCGGGCACGTTTATAACCAAAGCACTGCTATTCAAGTACGGTATAGTAGAACTATTAGTTCGCGTAAAGGTAGGTACAACGTTGTGAAAGTTTTCTGGGTACTTTCTTACTGTAACTGTCCCCATAACTTAAATGGCGACTAAATGGCGAAAGATAAATCGTCAACATATGGCATGATAAATTCAAAATTGTTAACTGGAAAAACACACGCTATGCAATAGAAGTATAACAATACCACAAGCCCTTCTCAGAGCTCTTCAACAATCAACATCAAGATTCGACCAAACGATGTATTGCAAATAATAATATAACTCCCCGAAATAAATTGGCTGGTTCCTATGCTACCACATCTGAAAGTAATTATAGTAATAGCGATAACAAAAATTTGATGCGGACACCACATGACTTCCTTGCACGGCCTATAAAATTATACCTATTTCTTGCTTCAATTCATTTAAACTTATTTTGTTGAATTATACTAACTTAAATAACTGATTCCTCAAATTAAAAATGACATAAAAATAGCGAATTTTGAAATTAAATATCCCGGTCAATCTTTGTCGTACGGGAGTCAAACTTCTTATAATTTTATTTTTTCATAATGAGCGTAAAACTTACCCAAATATGGAAACCTGGAGACCGCATTAAAAGTTAGATTTCGTCATTTGTCGAAAATTACTGTTATTATTTTTTTTTCATGTGACAAGCAACGAATATGGTTATGTCTGCCAACCGTTTCACGACATGCTTGGCAATTTTTCGATAAACTTGGTGCCATTTAAATAAGTTCGGAGACACGCTTCGGTTTCTGCCCTTTGAAATAGTAGTCAACTTGCATTAAAGATGCCAGCAGTTTTATGATTGGGCACCGTTATAAAGAGGTTGCAATTAAATATCATATGTCATTATATCATTTGTTAAACTAGGACTATGAGCTTACAAACCAAACGTCAACAGGTATTTAATGGAGCAGATTCATAACGTTTCATAAATGTGGTTCGTAGACTCATTGTCCTTGTTATAACTACGGTGCCGTTTCGTTTCGTTTCGGCATTAATTATAAATCCAGAGTTAGTGATCTTCACATCCCGTGTTAACACATAAACAAAGGGTTTTCACGAATTTTAAAAACATTTAGATAAAAAATAAAAAAAGCGAATTTTTTTAAATAAAAATACCTGGCAACGGTTTATTATTTGAAATGAGAAATGAATTTTTCTAATTTGCTAATTTGAAATTTATTCTTATTTAAAAAGGTCGCATGATAATAAGCCATGAACAGAAGGAGATTTTCCGAAGAGAAATACTCTTATTCCGTAATTCAGAAACGTTGTGAAATGCATGGGATTCAAATTTCTAAATGCGAAATAAGCAACATTATTAATCGAAAAGGAAAAAATCGTCAATCCTTGCTTGTACATGGAAAGAAGACTCCATACGAATACACGAAAAAGGTACCTAAAATATTTCTAATGTCTCTAAAGTTAAAACGTTGATAACAACGGAAAATCCGCAGACACAGGAATCAGTTTTAAAGTCTTAATGCATCTTTAGCAACTATAAATAAAGCAATCCACATGGAAATCAAAAATATGTCCGAATTTTGGTTTTGATTTCCAGAACTCCTAGAGGAGTTGCGTGGAAGCACGAAAATCCACGGAACGAGATTCAACGATTACTGGTTTACATATATTTTTAATTTACATTATATTGAGAAAACTTCTGGTTGAAACCATGCATTTTAAAATTACAAATATAATTAATGCTACAGTCTTATAGTTTCATATTTAATTTTTCTGCTCATCAGATCTTGCGAAAGAGTTTCCATGAAATTTTTATTTTCCATAACTCCGAAAATTCCATAAAATTTCCTTTCGCTGGCTAACTATCTCTTTCGCTTTTAAGTACAGAAAAATGGTCCACTGTTTTCTCTAACAAGGCACAGTAACTAGCTGCTTTAACTGTCATGCATATTTTTAGCAGTTACTCGACTCTTCTTAGTGTTCATTAAATTTGCATATGTCCGGAGCGAATATTGCCGGTAAAAGAAACGCGACGTGCAGAATGGCAAAGTAAAAGTCTGAACTATAAGTTTAAATATAAAGCAAAACTTGACACTATTTTTATATGTGTCTTGAGTTCTGTAATTAAATTTTTAAAATTCTTACATTATACGTTCTTTGGCACTAAAATAGTCAGAGGATGGATAAGGGATCATCAACAATTTTCTAACGGAAAGAAATTTGTACAATACATTCTAGTGATCTAAAGCATTTTTAGCACCAGAGTTGCTAATAGTCTCAAAACTAACTTTTTTCCCCGAAACAATTTTCAAATTTGTTGCCGCCAAATGTTATCGTCATGTATTAATTTTAAAAAAGACTTTATTATTTTTTTTTAATCTGAAAGCAGTTTAGATTTTTGCCCAAAAAGGGTGTTTTTTTT